GCAAAGGAAAGGGGAGGGGGTATATAGAAAGAAAAAAAAAGGAATTAACAGGCGGAAAATGAAATACCTTCGAAGCGACTCTAAATTATTCCAACTATTCCGAGCTAGTCTCGAGATAAGAGTCGAATCGGGAATGAAAATACGAGGAATTTTCATGAAAGACGGACGCGAGCCTGCGAAAAAGGCAGGGGACAGAAGGTGGTTCGATCGCACCGGAGGAAGACGCGATTGTTTGCGCTGGACAGGCAAGAAAATCAATGCAAAATTCGACGCATGCGTTGAAATTTTTATTTCACTTAAACGATACGCGGGTAAATGCCTATAGTACCTATAATACCTAATAAATATCGATCGACCGGTTCAAGAATAACGCGGCGAGCCGGTAGTCTCTGGCGAAACGCGTTCGACGATCATTTTCCCAGGTGAAATAAACTCTCGTGAACTCTCGCGTGGAAAAGGCTTTCCGTTGCTGGAAAATCCAGCGTAACGATTAGGGCCGTCCCGGAGCGGAAATCACGGCCCTGAGTACGAGGATTTCGGTGCTGCGATCGGGAAGGAGACTTTTCTGAGAGAAAGAACGCGATTCTCTTCTGCGAGACGGGCTGCATAAACGCGTCTTGCTCGCTGCGCCAGGATTTGCCACGTTCAGGTATAATTTACATCAAATCGAACGAACGCTTGCGACACAAATACGAGAACGCTTGACTTTGCCTCGCCGGTCGCGAGCAAGAATAAATCCTGTATCGCTAGCGCTCCTTCCTTTCCTTTCTCCATTCCATAACGTTTTACTTATTGAGCGAGAGTGACGAGAACGGGCGAGATTGGATTTTTCGAAAGATCGTTTTGGCTTCGGTTTCCAATCGAATCTTCACGATGGAAGAAACCGAATTTGGAAACGTTGATTACACTGCCCGAGAAATTTCAAGTTTTTCTCTTTCCTGAACGCGAATCCGTAATCGAGATTGCTCCATCACGCGCGAAAAATATTTTCGAAAAATGTGAGTGGTTCTGGAAAAGCACGAATTTTATCTAACATGAAGTATTATGTGAAAGGTAAGAATGTTAGGATGTTCACTGTTGTCTTGAAAATTAGATGAGAGTATCGGGAGATTATCAATGTCCATAATTATAATTATTCGTGCTTTTGAATAACTGCAATTGGTCATCGAAGTTTTAAAATTGGGCCCCCGAGCGTGCTTTCTACGCTTGTTCTTGCATTTTTAGGAAAAGTTCTTTATCTGACAAGAATTTGCTACGCGGTAGAGTATTCTATAGGCTTTTCTGAAGAAGAAACCATAAAGGAAGAATATTTGAACGATGTTCGATTTTCACAGAGCGGTAAAATATATATCGGGAACCCGTAAGCGGGATTTTCCCGCCATGCCGCCATTGCTCGCACATCTAGCGTCGGCAGGGCCGTATTCACGCGTAATCGGCACCAAAATCATCGTCCGGTATATCTCATTTTCTATGCGTATCACAGGTATATGTTCTCATGTACTCTTTACCACTGATAGATAAATTATAAAAAGTTTCTCTAAATCAGGTGCAATTTGAAGCGATCTCGTTAATCGACGCATAAATACGAATGACGTTTTAATACAAAGTGGTTAAAAAATAAACTTCCTCTCAATTTTTAAGGCCAGACTGAATCTTCTATCGTTTTTACTTTTTGCGCGATACTTTAAATTAACCTCTGGGTCAATTCGAGGGTCTGTCGGCCCTAGTCGTCCTGGGCACCAGCGCGTGCACGACCGGGGTATGGGCCCTGTAGCCGTGACACTGCATATGGGCCTACGGTCAGACCCCATGGGATGATTAATTTCTCCCCCATGTGGCAGGGGCCTGCGTGACCGGCTACAGGGCCTCGCTAGGGACCCTCGGCTTGATTTTGGGTGTTTCGATGGTTCGTCGATCGCTCTCGTTCGCGAGTAAGTCGTGGCAGGGTCTGTGGTGGCTGGATGGGCTAGGTTCGATCGGGAGGGTGCCGAGGCACGAAGTTGTCTTGTACGCGAGAGTACGTCTCGTAGGCTAGTCGGTCTTTCGAATAATCGCGAATTCGTTCGGGCGCGATCACGATTTTTAATTTGCTCGCGTGTTTTATATTTTAATCTCTATTTTTATGAGAAATAAAATATCTTAGTGTCGCGACAATAGAGTTGTAGTATACCGAATCGAAGTCCCCTTTGTAAGACACGAAATAAAATAAAGTGTCAGTAGAGTCATTTTAACTTAATTCGCTCCAAGTTAGATTAGGGTACCTTTGATACAGGTCGCGCCAGTAGGATGCGCCACTAGGTCGCATGTCGGGTCTCGATGCGTAGCCACCTCCACGTGGTGAGACCTGGTAATTGGTATCGTTTCCAAAGAGAAATCTTTGGTAAACGATATCAAGCTAAGAGCTACGCACAAAGTTTAAGATACTTTTTATCCTTCGTAAATTTTCAAACTTTCTTCTGAACTTTATCAATTTCCCGAAACTTTTTAACAAAATTATATTTTTCTTTAAACTGTTATATGTTTGCTCCATTACACTCGATAGTGAGATTACACGTAGCTACGGCACTGTCGAGGCTAGAGAAGCGAGCAATGGCTGCGTGGCGGTAAAATCCCGTGTACGCGTTACCCATGAATATTTTCCCCATTTAATCGAAACGAAAACTATTTCCACAATTTTGTTCCATGGCTTCTTCTTCAAACAAGCTTACAAAATACGATATTGTGTAGAAAATTCGTGTTAAATAAAGAACTTTTTGTAAAAACGCTAGAATAGTGGATAGAAAGATATTATAGATGAAAATTTGTGTTGAACAGTGTACCGATTGTGAAAACGATGGGAAAACTGGGATTACGTGGCTATTATTCGGACTTTTTTTCATGCGAATGTTTCAATTCGCATTGGTTCATAATTTAAAATTAATATTTGTTATTTCTCATTTGAGATATATAAATATTAAAATAAAAGAAACGTGTACTCTATTATTCGAAAATTCTCATCTGGACAACTCTGTGCCTCAATTAAAACGGATAATCAAGATTCTATTAATTTTATACATCACGATTAACTTCCTTTTTCGCAGTACATATAATTGATCTTAATGCGAAAAAGCTATGACAAGGATTATTGAAATATTCATAAGAAACAGAAAATACAGGGTTTTCATAAAATTAAAGAAACTTAACCTTCCACGAAATCGCAACGAGTGATATTGCTGAAAATATTTGAAAAATTGATAATAAAATTCGGAATTCCAGAACTCGAACTCCTATGCCCATAATTCTTCAGCTGTCGCTAATAAATATACGTATCGAGGAAGAATCAACGAATCGTGTACCAAAAATATAATCAAAGTAATAAAATATGAAAAATAGGGAAAATTTGAATAGAGAAGTTAATTCGAAAATAGAAGTGCCTCTTAAACGAGTGAATAGCCATATCAATGCACTAAATAGATTAACAGATATCTGAACATTATCTAACGTTGAATCGAACTCAGATAAGAATTTCCTTTTTCACCACGCGTGACCTGGCAATGAACGATTCTTCGTACACTATGATCGCCCCTCGTCTCTTTCGTTCGTTCCAACAATGGTTCGCATCTATTTCATTCAGGTTTCGTCGTAGGATCGTGAGGAGAAGCAAATTGCGACATAAACGTGCGAGAGTTATCCTCGTTGATGTAATAACTGTTGTGGCAACGCTTTGCTTGTTAAACCATTGGGCGTTAATGTGCCATTTTGGAACAGGTTGTAAGAAAGTTATTTTTTAAGTTGCAACGTAATAAAATCCTTTCCACGTGAACGTCGTTAATCTGTCGTTTCGAAAAACGAAATATAAATGACTCTCTTTCGTCTAGTATAACGATAAAATTGACATACACGTTGTTTCATCTAAAAGCATTAAACATGTAATATTCCATTTGTGAATTAACCCTTTGCACTCGACGATTTTTTGGCTAGAGAAGACTAGAAAATCAAAGATTCTCTATTGAAAAACTGACGACACTTTTTTGAGCAGTAAATAAAGAATTTTATAATAATAGAATTGTAGAATTATTTGATTTCGATACCTTGCACACTGTTACGTTACGTTAAATTTGATATATTAATTAATATCGATCTCCCAAATTTTATGAAATGGCGACTGAGGGTCACCTCTCGAGTGCAAAGGGTTGAAATTTTCGAAAACTTAACTACCCTAGATACCACGAGAAGAAAATATCTGTAAAATGGCAATAAAACGATAACGAAACTACTATCTTCCAGAGTTAGCATTCTTACAAAATCCAACGATTTCTCTGTACACATCTGGACTGGATTTTATCTAATTCGATACATACCGAGAAAGGAAAAAATAAAAGATAAAAAGATTTCTCGTATCGATAATACTAACACTTTCCGTCCGTATTCTATAAACGGGGCACCATTCCTCTTTCCAAAGAGATTGAAAGGAAAAAAAAGAAAGGAATTACGCTCTAAGCTTCACAACAGCGTGTCAAACGATGCAAAAATTGCAAAAGGAAATAAGCACGGAACGTGTCCACCAGAAATAGCTGCTGGGAATATTTGACAGATCAGCAATATCGTGTACGAACTATCGCTATTAAAAATAATCGAACCGCTGAGAAAGCGGAAAATAAAATAATAATTCAGACACGAGGGAGAAGAAAACGATAACAGCTCGACGAGCAAACGAAGAGTAACACGATAACGAAGAAAGAAAAGGAAATAAATACATATATATATATATATAAAATAAAAAAAGCGAAGAAAAGTGAGGAGAAACGCTTCCAAACACGAGAATTAAAATACACACCGAGGATGAGAGACTGTCTTCCATGCTGTTTCGCGAGAAAAAAGGAAACGAATCCCTCGATTACACGGTACGTGGCAATGTGTCGTAAAAAACGACGTTCTTTTGATCGGATCTCGAAGGACTCACTGCTGAGTTTATCGATCAGCCATTTGAAAGGCAGAAACGTAGAGATCTGTCTTCTTACCTGGTCGACGGTTCTCTGAAGGATCTGGCATTTGTCAGTCTTGCCAGAGCTCATGTCCGTGGCGGAAATCAGCTCGGCAAGCTCATCGATAAACAGGTTCTCCTGGTTCCGTCGTCTTTTTTCGTTAAGGCACTTGTTACTGTAAACAATCAAAAAATGCAGGAGATCACTGGATCGTTCGACGCTCTCGCTCGTAATTCTTATCGGTAAGCGCTGTTCCCCAAAATGGGGGACGCGTCGGTTCCAATTAGGTTACGCGCGGTTCTACCGTCTCCGTTTCCTTCTCTTCTATTATTCTAACTCTTCTCGTATTCTTTTATTCGAATTTTCCTGCAAATTGTAGGACAGCTCGATTTTAATTAAAGCAATTTCATCGTTCACAGTTGACAACGATCAAGTATTTACTATCGATTCGCGTCAGCTTCCAACTACCAGACCTGTTGCTCATCATTATCATCGTTTGGTATAGTTACGTGGATTTTAACCCTTTGCACTCGAGAGGCGCCTCTCGAATTTATTATCAAATTTACAATTACCCAACGATGCGTGAAATATTGAAGTAAAATAATTCTACGTCTTAATTTGTAAACGATTTCTTATTTACCGATTTAAAAATATCGTCCACTTTGTGGTAGAAAGTCTTCGAATTACTATTTTCCTGTAACGAAAAAAGGGGGTTAGCCCTTTGCACTCGATATTAATTAATATATCAAATTTAATGTAACGTAACAGTGTGCGAAGTATCGAAGTCAAATAATTCTACAATTTTATTATTATATAATTTTTTATTTACTGCTCACAAAAGTATCGTCAGTTTTTTAGTAGAGAATCTTTGAATTTCTACTCCTCTTTAGCCAAAAAATCGTCGAGTACAAAGGGTTAATAGAAATTTCATACCAAGAGTTTAAAGTGTATAGGACTTAGAAAGTGATTTAGACACCTTACACGAATGGTTATCCGTTAAAATTGTAAGCAGTATCGCGATAGCTATTGATAATACGTGAAGTTACCTGTGATTTATTCTTAGTTGATATATAAAATTTGTATATACATATTTGTTCGTTTATTTATTTTGTTATAATTTTTTGGCAGAAATTGTCGGACTTTGCATCGCTAGAAAAATTCGATCTGAACGAAAAACGTAATAGCTCGTAATTAATGCGGGAATCTTTTTATCAGCTGACTAATTAAAAGGTGAAATTTATAGTCAGTCCTTTGAACGAGGCAAACATTAAAGAGCCAATATCTAAATTAATATCTAAATTGTACGGTATGATGAAATTCTGCAAGTATTAAATATCTCGGCTAGCGATAAAGTCATTTCAGCAGGTCATCGTGCAATCATTTTCAACAGTGTATCAGTAATGAACGCAATTTAATGAATTAATACCACAAAGTTGATAAATCTCGTTGATAAAAAGAACACATAATACGTTTTCGACTTAAGAACGATATTACAGCAATTAACCAGGATAAATGCCTCGACGAAAAATTTCTTAATTGCGTTAACTTTTACAAAGTAAAGTAACCGGGTATTCGATGCAAGATTTCAATCGAGCTTACACGTGAAAGAATACGGTATTAAAACCCATTATATTTCAATATAAATCGAGATACGTAAGAAAACGAATAAAGAAAATAAAATAAAATAAATAATTTCCATAAAAAAAAGAAAAATTTGGAAAAATCTCGCAATTTTCGTCAATTGCTCGACAATTACGTTACTTAAAATAATAAATTTCTATAAATCGCGCGTATCTGTACCCGGTGCATGCACTTCATTCACGATCACTGCATCGAATTTCAATTCCAGCTTGATATTACCACTTTCCAAAATTGCATTTCACGCGAAACACATTTATTCCAGGTTCCAAGCAATCATAAACCCTCGAAATCCTACACATCCTCGCATCCCTCGACATCCTGTACGAGATAAGAAATAACACGCAGCTTTCCCAGCTCCCTCGTTCATGCCTCTTAACTTCATTTTTATCCCCGGAGAGACACGCATATTCCGAGATAACTCGCATATGCATCATCATCCATCAAGACCTATTATTTCACGAAATCTGTTGAACTTTCATCCCGAACTTCAATCGACGCGATACCCGGCTAAAATGTCTGCATCAATCTCACGGATTCTTGCTGCCCGCTGTACAGGCTCGTTAATCTTTTCACGGCCACTAATGGGACGCTGTTATCCTGAACTTTTGTTCGAGAAACGATCCCGGGAGAAACGATCTATGACGAAACCACGATAAATCACGCCGTTGAAACGTTTATTGCTGGGATTGCAAATCAATCGCGGCCAAAAATTTCTTCCGCGAGTCGAACCGATCTCCTGCGCCAGGGCTCCTTCCAACCGATCTCCTGCGCCAGGATTCCGAACCGCGCATTTTTCCCAGTCGATTTTCCCACTGGTTGCTGAATATTTTCTGGGAAGATCGTTCGGCAATGATGATTTTACAGGATAGCGCGTACCGGCGATTATTGTCATCTAAATTTACTTGCCGAAGCAATAAACTCTATGAAACGAAGGTAGAAATTTACTCGAAAGGATTAATTAAATGCTTCGGTATCGAATTTAAATGGAGATTCATTTTAACCCATGAATGATTCGATTATAGATAAATTTTAATTTTTTATTCGACTCGAGAAATTGGTATGATTGATATGAAAAATTATTGGCCCGCGTTGTTACTAACGATTATTGTTCGTGAAAGGATCGATTTAAAAAAGAAGGGAAGATTTTGATAAATATAAATAATTTTAATTTTAAATTTATCCCTTGAATGATTCGATTATAGATAAATTTTAATTTTTTATTCGACTCGAGAAATTGGTATGATTGGTATGAAAAATTATTGGCCCGCGTTGTTACTAACGATTATTGTTCGTGAAAGGATTGATTTAAAAAAGAAGGGAAGATTTTGATAAATATAAATAATTTTAATTTTAAATTTATCCTACGAATGACTCAATTACAAGTAAATTTTAATCTTTTATTCGAATCGAGAAATTGGTATGATTGATATGAAAAATTATTGGCCCGCGTTGTTACTAACAATTATTGTTCGTGAAAGGATTGATTTAAAAAAGAAAGGAACATTTTGATAGATATAAATTATTATAATTTTAAATTTATCCTGCGAATGACTCAATTACAGGTAAATTTTAATCTTTTATTCGACTCGAGAAATTGGTATGATTGGTATGAAAAATTATTGGCCCGCGTTGTTACTAACGATTATTGTTCGTGAAAGGATTGATTTAAAAAAGAAGGGAAGATTTTGATAAATATAAATAATTTTAATTTTAAATTTATCCCGTGAATGACTCAATTACAGGTAAATTTTAATCTTTTATTCGACTCGAGAAATTGGTATGATTGGTATGAAAAATTATTGGCCCGCGTTGTTACTAACAATTATTGTCCGTGAAAGGCTGGATTTAAAAAAGAAAGGAACATTTTGATAGATATAAATAATTATAATTTTTGGAAAAATGATCAAGTGAGTTTGCGGTGTAGTATACATAATACTGACAACTGGAACTACCGATCGAGTCGAAAAGACTGGTCTGAGAATTTTCCTTTTTGCAATTACGAGAAACGTACACCTGCTTCTGAAAAGAAATTAATGTCAACTCGCATCGAGATAAAGCTCTAATTAATATCTTCATCGTACCACTGAAATTACTATTATCTTCGCACGCTATGTATAGGTACCAATTAAAGATCGATAGGTCTAGTGTCAAGAATTATGTCAATAAAACTACTAGAATAAATATAACCGTAAACGAATTTGAATTTCCATCGCAACAGCTCGGAGACGAACATATTCAAAAAATTATCGACCTATATATCAATTTTGAATTTATTGGAAGAATCGATGGATTCGTTCGGCAAGCGATTACTGCAAACGTCGATGATATCGATATTTCAGGTGCTCGATTCGATTACGACCCGATAAGCGATAAATTAATTGGTACTCTGTTTCCGTAAATGAAAAATCATTGTTTACGATTTATTTACCGCGATACGTTACTTCGATCCTCTACTGAAAACTAAAGGAACAACCTCGCTATCTCTCTGCAATTAATTTTACGTTAAACTCCTCGTTATTTCGTACACTTGTTGTACAGTCCGTTCCCTCTTCCTACTTAGGCATCTTGATCCGGATAATCGAACAGGTGTGCAATTACCGAGGCGACTTAACCCGGTGTTGTCACAGTGATCGAGATTCAGCCATCGGACCGGAAACGAAGGAAAGGAAGAGGAGAGCCACGAAATGTTTAACGCAATCGCTACTTTCCTGCGATTCAGCGCCGCGACGTAACATTTTGACCCGTTTTCAAGGTTCTACCGGAAACCGAAAATTTTCCACGGTGCTGAGCAGCTTAACAGACCTCCGCGTAGCCTCGTCTGGCAATTTATCACGACCACTTTCCATCTTGCAGCGAGGGAAAATCTTTCATCGACCTCCTTCTCGGTCGTGTAATTTTTCCACATCGAGAGGAAAAGGAGAAAGAAGACGGGAGAAGAGGCGGGAAAAAGGATAAAAGGATAAAAGGCAAATGAAAGAGACGGGGGATACGTGTTAGTTATTCGCTGTTGTAAACTGTAGAAAATAGCAGGATAAACCGGAATTTAAGCTACACTTTAGTATTCAGATAAATTGCCTCTGGCATTGATTACTGTGTTCTACACGGGAGGCTTCCTGTGCGCCTAATTGCCATTTCCCACAAGTGGATATTGTCATTCCAATGGTGATTTATTCTTCCGATTAAGCCTGCTCTATTTGTCACATTATCTTCAGCTATTACTCGATTTAGAATCCCGCCAAGATTTTCCGTGAAAACGCGCTGCCACGGTTTTATTGCTCGCTTAATGACCAATTCAAAAACCAATGTTTCAGACGTATTAACGGCCAGAGTACTAACGAGAAGATTGAGAAACGCGATAGCGACAATGTTGGCGCTGAGATTTATTGCGTGGAAAATAAAATAAAAGTTGGTTAACGCTATAGACGACCTTCATTACTCGTGACGAGGAGGGAAA